AAAAAAAAAAAATTGAGGATACAGCCATGGTCTAACGCTACCACGTAGACAAAAGCATTTTTGACTTATGATATCTAGGAAAGGCGAGAGAATAAGTTCTGCGAGATATAAAGATAGAATCATCCAGTTTTTGGAAATAATCTTGGCATTCACAATACATGAAGCTAGTATTTGCATATATAGTACTACCCAGCTAAAACTACCAAAGCAATTTCAATTAGTCGAAAAAGTAAAAATGCATGAAAACATATCTGATACGGTTTACGTTCTGAAGCCTTCGATATGGAAGGTGAGGTCAACCAGAAATCATCAATTTATTATTAACTAATGTTGTTGATGTCACAGAATAGTATGTTAACTCGGCTACGTAAAAATCTGTTTTCTTTATAACACGTGGTAATTTCTGGTACCACTTCTTACGGGTACAGTTTTCACTTTGTACTTACAGTTCTCTAGCGACACACTCGAACATAATAAAATTAATTTCCGGTACTAATCAAGGAAAGTTGGTACAACATTTACCGAAAACATCTATAAGTATAACTTAACCCACCATTACCGGTCCACTGCCAATGATAGCTCGTACTGCTTGTATGTTTACAACAGCTAGCACGCGTCTGTAAATATTAATACGAAGACCTGAACCCAGTGCGGAACTTCTTGAAATATCCCGACTGCATACCCATACAACAGCCTTATTATTTAACCAAGCAATAAGAATTTAAGCATTCCTTATTAACGCTGGGAAGCAGTATCCATGTTTAACTAAAAAAAAACCAATAGTTAAATTTTAACTTACAATAAATATGTCATCTTCCTCTGTTGTGACTTTAATAATGAAAATGGGAACATAACTGTATGTAAAAATCTTTTAAGCATAAATTATAGCCTACTTTAGACTAGCAGATACTTTTTAAATACAACTCAACAGCCTGATATTACTACTTAAAGTAGGGGATCAACACTTTGTTATGTGCGTGTTAAAAACTTCCATAGATATTATGAACAGTGTACAAAGAACACATTAAGATAGTAGATAATATATATTTCATATTCTAAAGATGAAACACCTTCCTTCTGAGCTTCAACTCTGTCTTGGATAAAATAGTTACTGTATGCAACATGTAGATTTTTATTGTTGATGTTTAAGCTGTGTTGAAACAATCCTTGTTACTTTTTTATCACAGGAACAATATTTATATAGTATCCATTACCTGTATCATATGTAAATAATTTAAGAGATTCTGTAAAGCAATGGTTCCTTAGCAGTGGCTTTTAACCTTAATTTCAATTGTGGAATGCAAGAAAAACCTGCATATGATTTTAAAAACAATTTTTCATTTGTTATTAATATTTCTGAACAAAGATTATGTTACACCAGTATTTCCCAATTTTTTTTAAATTGTAATCTTTCCGATAATTAAAATCACCAATAGAACCCACTCCAAAACGAATACCCATAATCATAGAAAAAAACAGGAAATAGAACGGGACAGTTTTGGACTAAGTTAATGGTACCAAAATAAACAATACTGCATTACGGATTCTATTTCCTTAATTACGCTCAAGACATGCATCAGAAATTAAAAGTATGGCAATACGTGGTTCTCTTTTCATTTCGTACAATACTGAAATTATAGTACGGCAAACCACAAGCTGCTGTGTTGATATTGTTTGTGCTAATCCACAGCCAAACCTCTTTCATTTATTAAATCTGGGTAACAGCTTTTGGATTTATTTTAATAGAAAACTGCTTTTAGGCTGGTAAACACTGTGCAATCTGTGGAACCCTTGGACATGCCGTAGGACAGTGGTATTCAACCTGGAGTACACGTACCCCCGGGGGTACGCGAAGACATCTTAGGCGGTACGTGAAATTTAAAAAAAATATATATATCATTTTATGATAAACACTGAATAATCAGTAATGTAATTTATTTAATTTATTTTAGATGTAGATTATATACTATGTATAACTTGAATTATACACCGAAAACTTTGGGGGTACAAAGTTGAAGAGAAATTATGTCTGGGGGTACGCGAACAAAAAAGGTTGAATACCATTGCCTTAGGAGACTATATAGTTCTGCAGACCGCAGTTTGGGAATCACTGTGTTACGTCATTATTGAAATATTATATCTCTAGCAATAAATTTCTTTTAAGAAGATAGAAACTTCCAAGTTCCTGAGCATAATGCTAAGGACGTTTATCATATTTAAACTTAGAAACATCTGCATCATAATTTTTGTGAGAGTTTTGAGGTTTTCGTGGTAGTACAAATCTGCATCGTGGTTTCTTTGGTTATGATGTCGTAAGTGGTTGCCGACATTTCACGGGAACCTATAACCTATATTTCCAAGGTAGGTTGTACACTGCTAACCACCCACGGTGCAAGACTACACTAAAAAAAAGTTTTATATTGGATTTACTGATGTAATCAGGGCTTGATTTTGCATGATCTAATATAGGAAGAGTGTAATCCATGTATATGCCGATTCTTCACGATTTTACTCACATACAACTCTAACTAAACTGCTCGTACCTTAGCTGTTCTAAAGACAAAGAAACTTCTAACGTGGAAGGAGGCCGAGGCTCGGCTTCGGGCTGTCGCGCCTCTCGGTCAGTTAGTAGGCTATTTTATTGAGATTAAGGAAATTTCTTCTTCAAACAAACTCCTCAAAAAATGTCCGCTTTGAAACCAGAGGAAAATAATTCAAACGTGCCAAGAGCGGCATATTATTTTTTGGAGCATGATGTTGCATGTGGTTACCAGCATTTTGAAGAAATGTATTGCTTACATCTTCAGAGTAGAAGATGCAAGAGATACATTCCTCCAAAACATCAGAAACTACCTGCAAGACAACCCAGGAGACCACGCTCGAAATTTCCACAACCATTAAAACCTCAGATCTCAAAATGCTTAGGAGACTATATAGTTCTGCAGACCGCAGTTTGGGAATCACTGTGTTACGTCATTATTGAAATATTATATCTCTAGCAATAAATTTCTTTTAAGAAGATAGAAACTTCCAAGTTCCTGAGCATAATGCTAAGGACGTTTATCATATTTAAACTTAGAAACATCTGCATCATAATTTTTGTGAGAGTTTTGAGGTTTTCGTGGTAGTACAAATCTGCATCGTGGTTTCTTTGGTTATGATGTCGTAAGTGGTTGCCGACATTTCACGGGAACCTATAACCTATATTTCCAAGGTAGGTTGTACACTGCTAACCACCCACGGTGCAAGACTACACTAAAAAAAAGTTTTATATTGGATTTACTGATGTAATCAGGGCTTGATTTTGCATGATCTAATATAGGAAGAGTGTAATCCATGTATATGCCGATTCTTCACGATTTTACTCACATACAACTCTAACTAAACTGCTCGTACCTTAGCTGTTCTAAAGACAAAGAAACTTCTAACGTGGAAGGAGGCCGAGGCTCGGCTTCGGGCTGTCGCGCCTCTCGGTCAGTTAGTAGGCTATTTTATTGAGATTAAGGAAATTTCTTCTTCAAACAAACTCCTCAAAAAATGTCCGCTTTGAAACCAGAGGAAAATAATTCAAACGTGCCAAGAGCGGCATATTATTTTTTGGAGCATGATGTTGCATGTGGTTACCAGCATTTTGAAGAAATGTATTGCTTACATCTTCAGAGTAGAAGATGCAAGAGATACATTCCTCCAAAACATCAGAAACTACCTGCAAGACAACCCAGGAGACCACGCTCGAAATTTCCACAACCATTAAAACCTCAGATCTCAAAATGTCAATGAAAATTTTTATGTTCTGCAGTGTTTAAATATTGACAGCTGCTCTGAAACCATTGTACTGTGATTTTACTGACCATTTAGTCATTCAAAAATAAATCTTAATGCAAATGCAAATGGTAGTGTTTCTTTCTGTGACTATATATTCAAAGAGCAACATTTTCCTTCCCTGCCAATATCCGCACCTCAGAAGTGGATTCCTTCAAACTTTCCAGGCACCCATTAAGAAAACTGTGGAAAAGTAATAGAAATTGCACTGGGATGCTCTAAAGTAGAAGCTTTTTTATCAGAAAATATTAAAAAAATAAAATCCTTTTATTATATTCCATAGTATCCCTTACTTGCAAGATCTCAGCTATTTTTTTATTGATTCCTATTGATTAAAGAAGCCATATATAAACTTTACCTAATAATCTTTACAGTGAACAGACACAAAAACAGTAATGATCATGTAAGATTTGAGGTTTTCACAGCGGTAAGTATGAAGATTTCTGTCTTCTGGGTTGTTGCATCGCCCTGATGACGGAGGCAGTATGACCTCTGAAACGTTGGTAAACATCGACCAGACTACAGAGCGCAACAACACAGAAGACAGAAATCTTCATACTCATCGCCCTGATGACGGAGGCAGTATGACCTCTGAAACGTTGGTAAACATCGACCAGACTACAGAGCGCAACAACACAGAAGACAGAAATCTTCATACTCATCGCCCTGATGACGGAGGCAGTATGACCTCTGAAACGTTGGTAAACATCGACCAGACTACAGAGCGCAACAACACAGAAGACAGAAATCTTCATACTCATCGCCCTGATGACGGAGGCAGTATGACCTCTGAAACGTTGGTAAACATCGACCAGACTACAGAGCGCAACAACACAGAAGACAGAAATCTTCATACTCATCGCCCTGATGACGGAGGCAGTATGACCTCTGAAACTTTGGTTAACATCGACCAGACTACACAGCGCAACAACCCAGAAGACAGAAATCTTCATACTCACCGCCGTGAAAACCTCAAATCTTTCAGATTCTCTATGGTTTTTCTCAGTCCGTCTAGGACAATGCCAGGTTAATACCTCAACTTGAGCTATAGCAACTTCTCCCAATTTCCAATTTATTATTCAGTAATTATCCTACCATTCAACACTACAGTATGACCTAATAACAGCATTGTTAAATAGACTGTACTTTACTTTTTTGTGAACTCAGATTCAAAATATCTTACAGCATGCAACATCTTTTAATTTACTTGAAATACAAATTTTTAAATTAAAATATATTTTACGTTGTTTACCTGTTTCATATCTTGAACTAAATACGTATAATCTCTAAGCAAATCGAAATTCTTCAGGACGCTCAGGCGAGAGATTTGAGGTTATGAACGAAAGGGATGGTGGACGAACAGAGCAAAATTGTCCATTTAATGTTTCTATTTTCAGAGCAGTGAAAGAGATAAATAATATGGAATGAGTATTTATTCCTGGGAACTGATGTACACAATTCAAGAATTTGTAAAGTCATCTGAATCTTGTCAAAAACATCGCAAGTTACTGATAAACTGTAGGATTTCAATGTCAAAAAACAAAGAAAGATAAGAACAGACGCGACTATTGCATTTTGTAGAAGAAGACTATATTATACGGTACAACACAATCAATTATAAAAGTATGTCATACTTTTTGATACCACATATCTATACAACACTGAAATTATGCCTCAAATTAAGATCTTTGAACACAGAATAAGTAAACAAAAATAAGAATACATGGCACAATATCTAAAGCAAGAAATTTCCTGAAGTAAGAGTTTGTAGTTTACAAAAATTTTCTCATCATTTGAGCATCGAATGTCACAAAAAATGACTAAACAACAAAACAAAAATAAAAAAAACATGGCAAATTCTTTACAATGGCAAAAAATACAATCGAAACGTAAGATCTGTACAGTGATATAACAGGACAATACTGTTTCATAATTGCTTTCCACTTAGCTAACTGATGCATTAGTATATACAGACAATATTTATGGCAAGTCAACTGAATTCTCCTAAAAAAAAAGAATTTTTTTTCTATTTCTACTTACTTTATAATAACCCCATTTTAAATCCCAGAGCAAGTAACTGCCCTAATATATATTGTATTTAAATTACACTCTCCTAAACCCACAATTGCAATTCTTCTTAATTTACGGCTCATATTTTAAACAAATAATTTTAAAACAATTCAACTGTTACAAAAGAATAATTATCACCGAAGAACGTGTCGGAGCGTTAGATCGTATGTACCCAGGCAAAAACCGCGCGTCTTATCCTTGTACCAACTATGGCAATGTACGATAAGTATTTAGTCACTTTGTCGCTCGTTTCATAGTTGTTTACTTTTGCGGTCTCTGAGCGTAGTCATTGCGAGTACATTTGCAGTCGATGTACCTGTTTCCCTAACGAAGAATCTTCTTATTGTAGCTGCCACTGTCAGCAAATACTGCACTATCTTCTGTTCAAGGTCATCGTTCACTTTCCTTTAATAAAGTTACTGTAGAAGTTTGAAAATCACAACTTGTATCTGATCAGTGGAAGATCATGTGCACTGGAAGAATATTACACGGTATACAACAATCACGACGACGACGTATCACACACAAACTGTACACAAATAACCAGCGTTTAAAATTCAAATACAAATAATAATAATAATAATGAAATATAACAAAGACCACAGCACTTTCCGACCCTCGCAAACGTTGGCACATTTGAAGATATTTATTAGTACGACTGTATTCATATCGATGGTCCCTTGACAAATATTTACATGACGGCTGCTTGCTCGTTGTATCGCAAGTTCAGTTGCGTGTAGATACTTGATTCCGCAGTTTGTGATGCATCCCTTTAAGCACATCGAAAGTGTTTAGTTTACGCATGCTCGTCTGGGCTTTCGAGTTGGTGTCATTTCTTGCAGCGACACATTAATGAATTCATATGAAGAATCAATTTGTTTACTTAAAACAGATTCTTCTTCTTTTTTCCAGTTTAACAATGTTTGTACATTTTCCGGTACCCTTTACGGGTCCCCAACTTCTTAGTTGGCTTGATCTATGGACAATCGGTAGGACTCCTTGGACGAGGGATCGGCCTGTCGCCAGGCCTCTATCTGTACAGTGTACACAGGACAGCACAACATAGAAAAACATCCATGGCTTGAGTGGGATTTGAACCCATGGTCCCAGCGACCAAGCGACACAATGCCCACGCCTCAGACCGCTAGGCCACTGCGGACCCCCAACAGATTCTTAAAACTGAATTCAATATCCTGCTATGAAGTATCTCACATAATGTAGCGTCTAGACATAATAAATTTTTCACTGACATTGTGAGCTATCCTGTGAACTGAATGAGATGGGGTCATTTGTCACTTCAATGTGTCCTGTTTCATAAAATTTTATGTCTTATGAATTACCAGAAATATTTGTGATAAACAAATCCAAATAAGCAAATTTAGTATAATGTGTACTGTCAAAGCAAATCCTGAGTTTCAGAGATTTTGTAACCACACGTCGAAAAATTCATAATGTTCTGTAGGCTGCATTCGGTAATGCACGGCATTAAATTTTAAAATGCAGGAATGGGTATGTTGTATCCTCTTTAGATTTAAGATTTTGCTTCTTTCAAAAAATAGAAATGTCCAGACATTACTATATAACATTTTTGGAAGAGAGAATAAGGGATCAGATCATAACAATCACAATAAAAATCTCATGTACAGACAGCCCATGTAAAAGAATGAAAATCTCATGTTTTGGAAAAGGTTACAATCTATAAACAAGTTCTCATTAATGGCAAACAAACTTAAGACATCCACCGCTTTTAGAGTAAGTTTTTTTCTGAGTATGAGAACCCTTACCACGTGTATTATGTTTTAATTTATAACAAATAAACAACATTTCAAGGTAAAGATATAGAAAGCTTTGAAGAATAATGATTTGCACATAATCTTTCTGAAATGACCCACTGGCCAACAGATAACGAGGAATTAAAAGCACATTGGAATGTTACGAGACATATCACATGTTAAAATTAGCAGTTCAAATTATTTCTCAGTCTGTACCACTGCCTTTCCTTTTGCAGAATAACAAATTCTTGCCAACTTTTTTGTTGATTCAAACCTTCTAAGGTTTGTTGATAGCAAGATCAAATATCCTGTGTGACTAACTGCCATCATCATAAAATCACCTTCAAAAGCTCTCCTCATCTTGGCGCAATTTCATTCTGCAATTCTCCTGCTATGAAGTATCTCACATAATGTAGCGTCTAGACATAATAAATTTTTCACTGACATTGTGAGCTATCCTGTGAACTGAATGAGATGGGGTCATTTGTCACTTCAATGTGTCCTGTTTCATAAAATTTTATGTCTTATGAATTACCAGAAATATTTGTGATAAACAAATCCAAATAAGCAAATTTAGTATAATGTGTACTGTCAAAGCAAATCCTGAGTTTCAGAGATTTTGTAACCACACGTCGAAAAATTCATAATGTTCTGTAGGCTGCATTCGGTAATGCACGGCATTAAATTTTAAAATGCAGGAATGGGTATGTTGTATCCTCTTTAGATTTAAGATTTTGCTTCTTTCAAAAAATAGAAATGTCCAGACATTACTATATAACATTTTTGGAAGAGAGAATAAGGGATCAGATCATAACAATCACAATAAAAATCTCATGTACAGACAGCCCATGTAAAAGAATGAAAATCTCATGTTTTGGAAAAGGTTACAATCTATAAACAAGTTCTCATTAATGGCAAACAAACTTAAGACATCCACCGCTTTTAGAGTAAGTTTTTTTCTGAGTATGAGAACCCTTACCACGTGTATTATGTTTTAATTTATAACAAATAAACAACATTTCAAGGTAAAGATATAGAAAGCTTTGAAGAATAATGATTTGCACATAATCTTTCTGAAATGACCCACTGGCCAACAGATAACGAGGAATTAAAAGCACATTGGAATGTTACGAGACATATCACATGTTAAAATTAGCAGTTCAAATTATTTCTCAGTCTGTACCACTGCCTTTCCTTTTGCAGAATAACAAATTCTTGCCAACTTTTTTGTTGATTCAAACCTTCTAAGGTTTGTTGATAGCAAGATCAAATATCCTGTGTGACTAACTGCCATCATCATAAAATCACCTTCAAAAGCTCTCCTCATCTTGGCGCAATTTCATTCTGCAATTCCACAATAAACAAAGCATCACATAATTTATGACCTTGAAGTTATTTTTAGGATTACAACAGCCACAAAGACAATTCTTGCTGTCTTGTGATCATACGTAAAAAAGTAAAGCTGTCCCACTATACGCCATGTAGGCATTTGGGGTGAGAGGAGGTATAGCTCCTCTCTTCCTTGACCTCGGCACTAGATGGGGGTGAGTGGTCAGCATCACGCCCCGGCCGGCTTTACCCCCGGGAAAGGACCCTGGTACCTATCGGATAGGAGGCTGGGTGGGCCCCAGAGCCAGTCTGGATGCAGAGGAAAAATCCTGTGCCCCCGTCGGGGTTCGAAACCTGGTCGCCCAGTCCGTAGCCAGTCACTATACTGACTGAGCTACGCCGACTCACTTGTGATCATACGTTATTTGAAATTATTTTTAATGTGACTTCTTCTTCTAGTTTCTTCTGCCAAAGAATAGAAAGTGTTGTTCTGAAAACCATAATCTTCATCACAGTTTCATGCTGCATGTGGCATAACAACGTGATGATTCCTCTTGACGCATTGCAATTTATTCTTTCCGGACCGTGTTTCT